CAGATGACAGATAAAGACAATAAATAAACCTGCTTCAGACGAGATAAAAACAGAAACAAACACTGAAGGACAAAAAACTCAGAGATGACAATAAAACTGTAAAATAGAACTGCTCAGTTCTGCTCAGCTCCAGAGAATCCACCAGAACAGAACCCGTCATAAGAAGCAACATAAACGGATCAGTGGAAGGACAAAGAACGACCAGAGAGACAAACGCTGTCTCCGTTGTTCTGTCTCCGTCCACCAGGTGTCCTCACACCGTCTCACCTGTCCAGTCACGTGACTCACCTGCAGTGACTTCTGACGTCACACAGCTGGTCCCAGTTCACCCAGTTCACCCAGTAACCCGCTGTGGACTCACCTGATCCCACCTGTTCACCTGTAAGTCCTGGTCTTTGGTTTGAACCAGTGGATAAACACAGACCAGGACTCCGTAGAGAACCTGTCTGATGGTGGTTCAGAACAGTCGGTGGTCCTCTGCTGACCCGAGCTGCTGAAGAGTCAGGACTCACCTGTAACCTGAAGTCCTGTTGGTTCCCCAACAGGCCGGTGAGTTGGACCCATGTTCCCGTCAAGTTCTGAACAAAACGACAGAATGTGGCTCCGGATGGGTCCGACCCAGGAGGAGACTTCAGACGGATTCGTTCAGCTTTTCACTCTGAACCGGATCTTTTCATTTTAAATGATTAAAGTTAAACGAAGCCAAAGATCAGCTTCTGTTCTAGTTTTCATGTTTTATTCTGAAAGGACACAGAAACACAAGCTGCTGAGTCATCATGTGACCTCAGCAGAAGGTTTTAGAGACACAACGAGCAAAACGACACGAAGACGTCACCTGGACGTCTCTGTTCTGATTGGTCGACAGGCTGACGAGCTCGTTTTAACTCCTTATTAACATGAAGACGGTGTTTTTTCTTAGTGAAGGATTTAAGCTCCAGCTGAACTGGTCCTGGACCAGATTTAACTGGTCACCAGTTCACTGTCGTCCATGTTTAAAGTTCTGATGGGTTCTGATTAAAGGACGGATGAATAAGAACCGTCCGGGTCCAGGTTTTCATTCCAGAAGCTTCTTTAAACTTTATTATAACAAACTGATTTTGTTTTTATTTAATTGCTGAACCTGCGGTTCTGAACTTTTCGGGCTCCGGCTGCTCGTCTCCTGGTTCCGGCTCCAGATGTGTCGGAGCGTCTCGGAGCGGGAAGACGGCGGCGTGCCGGGGGAGGAGGGGGAGGAGGGGAGGCTGACATTTGGTTCATGCTGGAGTGGCCGTCGTGGTGATTTCTGGCGCCTGACAGCGAGCAGAGGGGCTGATGGGATTGAACGGAGGCGGCGGTGGGATTAGGAGAGCGTGACAATCGAGGATTAGCTGAGCTTTAAACAAATAAGAGTCGCAGGTCATCAGATGGACCCTCAGCCTGAGAGCTGCAGCTTCATTAGCATCAGAACCAGGACGGAGCAGAATCACGCTGCTGCTGTCCAACGGGTTAAAACACTCAAACGTCCTGTTTGGTCGCGTGATGTGAGTTTGATTCTGATTCTGCAGCTTCATCTGTGAAGGAACCAACGTTTTCTCTGCAGGTTTCAGACTTCATGCAACCAGAGAAGCTCTAAACAAACACATTTATCTATTTATTCTAAAAGCTGGCTGCTATCTTGGGATGCTAGTCACTAGCCTAGGTGTTCTACTGAGTAGTCAAGGGATGTAAATGACTACCTGAGGTAAGCAAGTTGCTAGCGCACAGATGCCCAGATTAGCCCCAGAAATGCTAGCTGTTACTTGAAGTAAGCTAGCCACTAGCCAAGGGATGCTTGTATTTGCTAGCCTTAGAAAGTGAGACGCTACTCGAGGGATGCTTGTGACTAGTATAGCAATGCTAGTCACAAGCAAACGTATGCTAGTGATGAGCCTAGTGATGTGAGTTGCTAATGTGTAGATGCTAATGACTAGTATGGTAATGCCAGTGACTGGCCTATGGATGCTAATGACTATTCGCTAGCCTTAGAATGCTAGCCACTACTCAAGGGATGCTAGTTGTTAGCCAAAGGATGCTATTGCTAACCTAGACATTTAAGTGACAAGTCTAGTATGCTAGTCACTAGCCGAGGTGTGCTAGTGACTAGAGATTCTTGGGACTTATTGAGGAATGGTAGTTGTGAAGTATGGTATGCTAGTTGTTAGCTGAGTGATGCTAGCGAGTAGCATGAACGAGACTCCAGTTTGTGTTTGTTTCTCCTTGTTTGTATAAAAACTAACATTCAGAGAAATCTAAAGATTACAGTTAACTGAACATCTGGGACGTGTAGACTGAAAGCTGGACTTTAAAATATACTGAGGAGTTTTAAAAACAGAATTTCTTAGTTTTAAAGTCGAACACTTTAATGAATCGTAGGTTAGATTTGACCTGAAGAGTTGAGCAGCGACTCCAACCTTCAGCCGCTTGTTGTGCTGCTGCTCTTCTCTGTAAACAGCAGACGGCTTCTTCTGCTGCTGCAGAATGTAAATTAGCAAGTGTAGCTGGAGGTAAAATTAGCATCTTTAATTAAAAAATTAGCAGCAAACAAACAACAGAAAACCTACGAACGATTAAAGAAAAACATCCTGAAGCAGCAGCAGCAGAATCCGACTGGACTCAGTGATCAAACACAAACACTCGTCTGCTGGGGACAAATTCATAACCAATATTTTCACATCAAATACTGACTTTGATCCTCCAACAGGATCCTCAGGAGGACGCGGTTTCATCATCGGTTTGGTTTCCAGAGCAGCAGCCGGTTAAATCCTCCAAAACCATCGACCTGTTTGTTTGTGAGCAGCTCATTTATGCACAAACTACAAAACAACAACAACAAAGTCACAATAAACCCGAATCGTCCTTCAACCTGAGTCTCACTGTGACGAAGGGGATCTTCAGGTAATCCCACCTGGAATGTTTCCTCTAATGTAGCTCTGTGGGTCAGGCTAGCTTAGCATAGCTAAGGACACTCTTGAGCAGCCTAGAGATGTTGTTGAATAGCTTTGGGATGGCAGTAACTAGCCTGACGATGCTAGTTTCTAACTGAGACATTTTACTGTTAGCCTGGGGATGCTAATAACTAGCTGAGGGATGCTAATTGCTAATCTGTATTACTGAGTAACCCAAAGATGCAAGTAACCAGCCTGG